CCGAGCTTAATACAAAAATTTTATTTTCTTTACCTAAAGAATGGCATAGTACTATCGTAGATTTATTACCCAAATGTGATAAGGCCGAAACCGCCCACATTTGGTCTTCCTTGTATTCTCACGAACTTTTGTTGAGAAAGATCAAAGAGGAAGAAATGCGTGAAAATCCCAAACTTACCAATGCCTTCAAAGCATCGAAAGACTCGTCTAGTGAAGAGTCGAGTGAATCAAGTGATGATTCAAGTGACTCAAGCTCTTCGGAAGAGTCAAATGATGAAGAAGATGAAGAGAAGGCAATAAGAATGAAATATACGGATTTCCTCAAATGGAAGAAGTATGTGAAGAGGAAAGAAGTATTTTGAAAGACGAAAAAAGAGCGGCATAAGACGAAGAAGTATGTTTATTGGATATCAATACATATTTTATTTCGGCCCAAAGCCCAACAACAATTGATTTTAATCAAAACAAATTTAATTAATCGAATAGTTATTTATTAATAATTCTAGGGTATGTTTTGGGGCGTTACATTTGGCTTGCTATCAACAATGGAGATAGATTGCCGATGAAGAAGATAGGTGATACACTCATCTCAAAGAACAAGGATGAATATGATGAAGCCGACTTCAAAAAGGCTCAATTGAATGCCACCGTCATAAACTTCTTATATTATGCTGTCAACGTTAACGATTATCAAAAGATTTCTCGGTGCCAAACCGCCAATCAAATGTGGAACAAACTTATGATCACATACGAAGGTACGCCTCAAGTTCGTGAATCAGAAAATGATTTACTAACCCATGAATATGAGTTATTTGCTATTAAAGAGAATGGACTTGTGGAGGACATGTTTGGAAGATTTTCAAACATCGTCAAAGACCTTGATATGCTTGGAAAGACGTTCACCGACAAGGAGTTAGTGAGGAAAATCATGCGAAGTCTTACCAAGGAATGGGAGTCAAAGGTTAACTCCATTTACGAAGGTGGAGATTATAATGTCATCACATACGACGGTCTTCGAGGTAACCTTATCATTTATGAAACAAATCATATCTCTCATACTCTTGATGTAAAGAAGAGAACGGGAATTGCTTTTAAAGCATCCTCTTCTCAAAGAGTAGAGAATAATGATTCGGATAGTGATAGCAATTCTAGCATTTATAGTGATTCTAGCACTTCTTGTGATATTTTGGTTGAATGTTTTAACAAGTTTATGAAACATGAACTTAAAAAGAGCAAGAAGAGAAACGCCCCAAAATGTCATAAGTGTGGAAAGCTTAGCCACCAAATATTTGAGTGTCTGAAGCTCAAGAAAAGGAGTAATCAAGATGAATTCGCATATTTCTCGTGGCCACCAAATATTTGAGTGCCCGAAGCTCAAGACTACTGTGAGTTTTTCTTGGCTATAGAATAGTAGCCTAGCTACTATGCTTTAAAACTATTTTTAAAGTTTCGAGAAACGGTAATCTATCATTAGTTGTCTGTGTCAGTTTAAAATATAGTTTTTGTTACAACAGTTGTCAATAACAAGTTACGAATACTCTATTTAAACGGTAGTCTAGTTTTTTAGTCTAGAATTGTTTTTAAACTTACTAGAAACGTTTATCTATTGCTAATTGTCTGTTTCATATTGTTTTTTTGCCACAATGGTTTATAATAGGAATAGAAGACTCAATTCTAACAGTAGTCTATGAATTAAGGGTAGAACTATTTTTAAAGTTGTGAGAAACAGTAATCTATTATTCGTAGGGTGTTTCATCTAAAAATACAGTTTTTACTATGATAGTTGTCAATAGTTAGTTAAGACTACTATTTCTAAACAGTAGTCTGGTTTTTTAGTTTATAACTGTTTTTAAACTTATAAGAAATAGTAATCTATTGTTAGTTGTATGTTTCATATGGTTTTTTTTGCATAGTTGTTTATAATAAGAACAAAAGACTGCCTTGTAACAGGAGTATATTTATACAGCATAGAATTGTTTTTAAAATTCATAGAAGCGGTAATCTAATACAAGTTGTCTATAATAAATTAAGAATACCCTTTTTAACTAGTAGTTAGACTATTAGGCCTAAAACTATTTTCAAAGTTTTGAGAAACCATAATGTATTCCTAGTAGTGTGTCACACCAATTCTTTTCACGATTATCTATAATAAGTAAAGAAAATTGTTTTTAAGAGAATTGTGCGTATTAAACGTACAACTGTTTTTAAAGTCCTGAGAAATAGTAATGTCATACCAATTGTCTCTAAGATATGATTTTTTTGGTAGAGTTGTTTATAATAAGTTAAGAATACTCGTTTTAAACTGTAGTCTAGCTCTAAAGCCTAGAACTATTTTAAAAGTTCAGAGAAACAGTAATCTTTTTTACAATGAAAATGTATATGCTCTCTAACTTTATTTTCATACTTTCGGGCAAACTTTATACAACAATCAAATAACCGTTGTTTCAAACAATATGGACATGAAAAAAATAAACACTTCCATTGAAACAAAAGAAAAAGTACATGGAGAGACTGTGTACTGTCTCGCTACACACAAAGGGAATTGGGAATCCATACAATCAATCAATCTCATTCATAAAACAAAAAAAATAAGAAGATGGCAAGATACAAATAGAATCTAGGATCCAAGGTGAATGTAGGATGGTGGCTCGAGGAACATAAAGCGTCAGATGTTTCCATCACACACAAGCTTTGGCTCGCCATTATTGTCAAAAACAAGTCCATCCACTAGAGGGGTCTTTTTCTTTGAGTTGACATCTTGGACTTCTTTACTGAATATGCTTTCTCAATCTGTTGGGGGCTGGGAGAGACCTGTTCATGCTCAATAATATCAAAAATCAAAGGGTCACATAACACCCCGATAAGGTTGTTCGTAGGGACATTTGGGTTAGAAAGAATATCATCATCCCTAGGGGTGGGCGCGGTCCGTGATGGTCCGTAATACTACAGGAACCTATCACGGACCGCTATTATTTAACCGGTTCGGTATCGGTACGGGATGGACTCCAGTACCATTCGGTACCATTCCGTTTTGAAACGGAATGGTACAATACCATACCCATGCTCAAACCGTGCCAAAAAAATGAACGTATATTACTTAAATAATATTGAATTTAATGTATAAATTTGTATAAAAAAAGCCCACCCCTAATCATCCCCATTTTTGGAACTGTGTTGTATGCCATGCAGTTTATACCCAAGGGGTATACTGTGTGCATCACAAAGGTGGGGTTCCAAGTAGTCACTTGTAGCTTCATTGGGAGGGGCAGTAGTGGCATAATCATCTAATTTATCCACATTTAAGAGACTCTCATTTAAAGGGACAATATTTTTTGTAGTAGGGACAATAGTTTTTGAGGCATTCTCATTCACTACATCACATCAGTAACATTCGCTGCACTCTTCATCATACCAGTTTAAATCTCAATAATAGAATGGCCATTTCATTGTTCTCAATAATTGAAGGGAAATCAAGAGGATTACAAATAATACTCCCAAATGGGATGAGTCCCACCTTGCTGGGAATCGAGGTGTTCGGGGGAAAACACACCAAGTCCAAAGTGGGGGGAGGGTCCTGTTTGTTGGTGGGCTCATTGCAGGCTTCCTTGCCATTTCCATTTGCAGAGATAAGAACCGTAGGGGCATCATTAGTGACAATAGCATATGGAGCTAAGGGAGCAAAAGTAGTTGATTTAGTGACCAAAGAAGCAATCTAGTTCAAAGAAGCTTCTTTACCTTCCCTCCCAATCCATCTTGAGGATGTTTTTTTTTTGCAATTTTTGTGGCCAATCCTCGCTGTAGATTGGTTGAAGGAAAGACAAACTACCTAGGTGTAATCAAACAGTGTTGGAAAGTTCATTGGAAAGATCTACCTTAACAAAAACTCTAGCCACAGCCGGGAAAGTTAGTTGGGCAGTAGCTTTGTCTAATATGAGGGGAAGTCGAATTAAATTGGCTATATAGTAGGGAGCTGGAGGAGCAAAAAGGTGGATAGGAAGGCCTTCCAGCCCTATCCAAATGGTGGAAGGGGGGATTCAACGCAGGGATCAAAATCATGGGTTAGCCTACCATCGTCAAAGAACAATAAACAATCTCCAATTTGCCATCAATAGAGGGTTAAAATTCTTGTCACCAATGGAATAAATTAAGCTTATAGCCGTCTATCTTCCATGTTATTCAAAGCCATGAAAACAAGAAACATAAATAAGAATGACACTCACTTATAAATTACAACTATACATTGTCCATATCTAATACAAGTAGCAAATACCTCAAAATTTGAGCTGTTCCAAAAAGAGCGATTAAGCAGTAAGAACCTGCGTTGGAAGCTTAGCAAAAATTCGAGCTTCTTTGTTTGCAGTCAGCAACAAACTATAGAATCTGATTTGGCTAAGCATGTCACTCCTAATACCTCAAAATTGGGCTTCAATTTGGACAAAAACCAGACGGAATTGCTCCTGCGAAGTTTAAAGATGAACAATGACTTCGTGGTTCTCAATCTTCAATTGACCATATTTTAGCTCCAAATTCTTAGCGGAATACTAAGATTCTAAAAGAGCAGCTGATGTCGATCTAAAAGAAACAAAAATCATAAAAAACAATCCACAACTTCAAGAGGAATGGCAAATCCAATGGTCAGGATCTAGGGTTACGCATTGACGCATCTGAATAATCGAAGATGAAGGACTGAGGATGAAGAATTGATTTGGTGGAATTACAATTTTCAAAGAAGGGAAGAGAGAAATTAGGAAGAGGGAGAATGAAATTTAGAGGAGGAAAAATGAATTTAGAAAGAGGGAAATTAAAATTGTAGAGATTTGGAGGTAAACTTTAAGAATATTAAATAAATTTCGATTTAATGCATTTAAAGATTATATCTGGCAAATAAGACACAACCTTGATAAGTAATTTGATTTTTTCGAACACTATATCTAATCATATTGGATTTGAATTTGATTTGATTTGATTAGATCTATTTTGGTCTGATTCGATCTAATTAGATCGGATCTGATGCATTTAAAGTGTATATCACAAAAATAAGACACAACCAACACAAGTAAATTGTTTTTTAAAAAAATTAGATCTGATCTTATTGGATTTGAATTTGATTTAATTTGATGTGTTTTGGTCTAATTCGATCTAATTTGATCTAATCTAATGCATTTATAGATTAGATCAGGCAAACAAGACATGATCTATATAATTAAATTGTTTTTTTGAAGATTTGATTTGATCTTAATAGATTTGAATTTGATTTGATCTATTTTGGTCTAATTCAATCCAATTAGATCTATTTTGGTCTGATTAAATCTAATTTGATTTGATTCAATATTTTTGAAAATTTGATCCGATCTTATTGAATTTCACTATGATTTATTCCGATTAGATCTATTTTTGTCCGATTTGATATAATTAGTATGATTAGTTATATTTAAATTTTTTTTAATTTGATCTAGTCTAATCTGATATGATGAGATCTGATTTCATTAGATATCATCTAAACAACATATAAACATGTTAAATTGAGATGTAGTGGGTCGCATGAAATATACAAGCCATCAGACCTGATTGGATTTTATCTGATCTGATTAGATCTAATCTATTAGATCAAATTCTAGTTATTTTTAAAACTCTTTCTAATTTGATCTGGTTTAATCTGATTTCATTAGATATAATTTAAACAACATATAAACATGTTAAATTGAGATGGAGTGGGTCGCATGAAATATACAAGCAATCAGACCTGATTTGATTTGATTTGATCTTATCTTATCTGATTAGATCTAATCTACTAGATCAAATTCTAGTTATTTTTAAAACTCTTTCTAATTTGATCTGGTTTAATCTGATTTCATTAGATATCATTTAAACAACATATAAACATGTTAAATTGAGATGGAGTGGGTCGCATGAAATATACAAGCAATCAGACCTGATTGAATTCGATTTGATCTTATCTTATCTAATCTTATCTAGTTAGATCTAATCTTGACTGATATAATTGGAATAGATCTAATCTACTTGATCTAATTGTAGTTATATTTAAAACTCTTTTAATTTGATTTGATTTAATCTTATTTGAGGAGATATGATTTGATTAATTAGATATCATCTAAACAACATATAAACATGTTAAGCTGAGATGTAGTGATCTGATTTGGTATAATATTATCTGCTTGTGTTTTTTGAAGTACAATAAGTCAGAGATTATGAACGATGGTGTCTTTTAAAAAAAATTGAGATGGAGAGTATAAAAATCAATTTTAAAAAATTAAAATTGAGACGAGAATATATTAAAATGTATATTTTTAAAAAAATTAATTAATGTTAAATCTTTTGAGTAATTTGTTTCAAATGAAATCTAATAATTTAACCTAAAACTGAAGGAATACATAATTTTTTGTTGAAATGAATTGAAATGTTAATATGCATTGAATCTATATTGTGTTCTTATTCTAATAAAATCAACACATAATACCAAAAAAATACTCTATAAGGTCAATATAAAATGTCACAATAAAAACTTTTATTTTGAGATTAAAAACATTAATATTCTATTTTAGTACATTCTTTTTACTTCTACAATAAAAACTTTTAATTATATCTATTTAATTAAAAGTTTTATAAGTGTTATAATATGTGTAGTAGTTAGTTTGCTTTTATTTGTTTTGTTTTTGTGACAATGTGTGTGCATGCTTAAATGATTTTTAAAAAAGTACAATCTTTCTCTGTGGGATTGACCCTTACTTGCCCTAGCTATAGTTTTTATTTGATTATATATTGGTGGTTAGTTTAGGATATTTATAAATTTTTAAATTGTTTTGGACCGCACGACAAGTCCTTAACAATCGCGATGGACTTCGTGATAGGATTACCCATGTCGAGCAAGAAGAACGATGCTGTATGGGTCATAGTGGACCGATTAACTAAGTCAGCTCACTTCTTTCCTATCCAACGAGACTTTTCCCTGCAGAAGTTGGCAGAACTCTACATTCGAGAAATTTTGAGACTACATGGAGTGCATGTGTCTATCATCTCAGATCGCGACCCGCGATTCACATCGCAATTCTGGAAGAGTCTTCAAAAGGCTCTTGGCACTAAGATCAATTTCAGTACAGTGTTTCACCCTCAGAAAGAGTGTCAGTCTGAGAGAACGATTCAGATTTTGGAGGACACGATGAGAGCTTGTGTCATTGATTTTGGTGATGATTGGGAGCGATATCTGTCGTTGATGTAGTTCGCCTACAACAACAGCTACCAAGCTAGCATTCAGATGGCACCGTACGAGGCATTCTACGGTAGACGTTGCAGAACACCGGTCTATTGGACCGAGTTGAGTGAACCCAAACTTGAAGGACCCAAACTTGTTCGAGAGGCAGAAGAGAAGGTTCGCTTAATACATGATAGATTACAAGTTGCTTCAGATCATCCAATGTCCTACGCTGACCTCAAGCATAGAGAAATTGAGTATAATGTTGATGACTAGGTATTTCTCAAAGTTTCCCCTTAGAGGAAGGTGTTAAGGTTTGGAAAGAAAGGAAAGCTAAGTTCTAGGTTCATTGGACCGTACCGGGTCATAGAACGAGTAGGACCAGTGGCGTATCGATTTGAGTTACCTCCAGAATTACAGAATATTCACGACGTATTTCATGTATCTATGTGAAGAAGATATTGATCAGATCTGTCACATGTGCTACCTGAAGGAGCAGTAACCCTCGAAGAGAGTCTTACCTATGAAGAAGAACCCGTACAAATCATGGAACGTGAGGTAAAGGAGATGAGGAAAAAGACAGTTCCCTTGGTCAAGGTGCTTTGGCGAAACCATGCCGTGGAAGAAGCAACATGGGAGACCGAGGAATCCATGAGGGCTCAGTATCCTCAACTCTTTTGTGACCAATGACTCAGGTAATTTCGAAGACAAAATTCTTTTAAGGGGAGAGAAATGAAGCGCCCTGAAACCTAGCCTATCAGAATTAATTAATTAATTAATAATAGTTAATTGATTACTGAGACGGACTCGGTGGAAATTATAAATATTCTTTGTTTAACAATAAGGTTTATACCATTGTGTAGGATTCGACGGACCAAATCCAACGGTGAAATTGGATTTGGATCCTGTGGGCCCGGGAAGTGCGTTTGGGCCAAGTACGTTAAGTTAATACGGAGCCTAAAACCCCAAGAGTATAAATATAACCCTTCACATGCCTAAAACCTTACGCCCCATAATATTTACGTAAATTCTCTCTCTCGGTCGAAGATTAGGAGCGGCGCAGGAGAAGGGAAGAAGAAGAGAAGAAGAAAAGAAGGAAGAAGAAGAAGAAAAAAAAGAAGGAAGAAGAAGGAAGAGGGATTCGTCTTCCGGTTCTCCATCGCTAACAATATTCTGTAATCTTTAATCATCGAATTCGAGGTGAGTACCTGGATATCTAACGTATGGTTATAGTCATAGGGTTGAATCTTGCGTTCGTAGAATCATTACGGTTGATCTATTTGGAATATACGTGAAATATGCCTTGTTATGTCATTTATGATTCGAGAAGCATGATTTCATTTAGGATTGTTTAGGAACTTTTTAGATAATGTTTGATTAATGATTTAGAGCCTGTTGAAGCCTTATTTCTCTGAAATTATGTGTTTAATGAGTAACAACGGAGCTGGTGCAAGTCTCGTGTTCGCCGCGACAAACGGTAGGCGAGTACTGTTGACATGGTACTTGGCTACCGCCACCTACCTCGTTTTCACCTCGTTATGCCAGTACTTGTCACCAAACAGTACCTAGGTACCAATTGGACGGTAGGCCCTACCGCCAGGTCGGTAGAGGCTACCGTGACAGCCTACCGGAAAGAGGTTTCCAGTTACACGGTCGGTACCCACGTACAGTGGGACGATACGCTGGTACCGTGGGGTCGGTAACCCCTAACGCCAAGGGTACCATGAGGTGCTTGAAATCTCTGTTTGTGTCGAGGATCGATTCCGAGACTTTGTATGTTGCATGATGGTAAACATGGGTGTCAATACCCAGTGTTAGGCCGTTGTTTGATCAAGTTGAATATGTGATTAACTCGTGGTTGAAGTATGAATATGTATATCATGATTTGTTAATGAATACAGGATGAAACACGTAGAAAGAACTCCATGGCTGACCTGAATAGATTAGTGGCAAGTTATGCCATAAGTTAGTAAGTTAGAGTCATGTGGTAGCTGATGGGTCCAATGGCTGTCTGTGTAAAAATGTGTACACGAGGATCTAATAACTGTCATTCCGAAGGGTACAGGGATCTCACCCACCCAACGAGGAACTCCCGAGTTGGTTTGAGCTTAACCTTCATTCTGAAGGGGAAAGTCATGACTCCCATAGGCAAGTCGTTTACAGTTAAGCTTTAACCTAGCTTAGGTTAAGAGCCAAGTACAAAAGTAAGTTAAGTAAGTTAAGAGGAAAGGAACCTGATATACTATTATTATTAGTTTAGCTCATGAATGATGTTGTTATTACTTATGCATGATATACCATGTATGTTGTTATGATCATTGTTCAGCATGTTGCGTGCATGATATCGTATGATGATATGGGCTAGTGGGATCATCTATGGGTATAGCTGTATGTTAGATATTTCTCACTTAGCTTCAATGCTGAGCGTGTAGCATTTGTTCCTTT